TTTGGTTCTGTTTTGAAGTATATCCTCTAGTACTAATTTCCTAAGCTTTCTGAGTCCACAAGTCTTTCAACATGACTTTTAATTGACCTGGAAATAATTTCCCTTCAGACACCTGGAAGGAAAGGTCCACATTTTCTGATTTCCAGTTCTTTATTTGATAACTCCAATGCTACTGACTCCTGGTACTTTGTTTCTTCTCTCCAGAAGTTCCCCAGCACTCTGAAATTTCAGTGATGTTCTTGACAAAGAGCTGTCCCTTTCCATGTCAGCACTGGCTTTACCTGGTAACATGGACATGGAAAGCCTTGGCTCTCAGAAGTCTTATTAGAATTCACTGTGAGACTATGCAATCCTTTCTTTGGCCACACACAGCTCTGGTATCTTCAAGTCTTTCCTTTGGGGCCAAGATGATTCCCCAGAGAAGCCTCTTTTTTAAATTTTTATGTATATGAGTGTTCTCTCTGCATGTAAGTGCACCTGTCATGTAATGCCTAGAGTGGCCAGAAGACAGCATCAGATCCCCTGGAACTGGAGTTACAAGCAGTTGTTAGCAACCATGTGGGTGCTGGGAACTGAACCCAGGTTCTCTCTGAAAGCAGCCAGTACTCTTAACCTCTGAGTCATCTCTCCAGCCCTGAAGAGGCCTCTTTCTGTTGTATTTCCTGCCTGGAGAACATGGAGCTGGTCTTCCACAGGGACTGAAGGAGGCTCAACTGCCCACTGTGTGGAGGGCAGAGACTACCTGATTCTTAGAAGGCTCATGATTAGTCCTCCTGGTTTCACCCTCCCCTCGAATACCTGTCAATTCAGGATGTCAGGAACGGAGCTTCTATGTCCCCTCATGTTTCTCAGAGTTGTGTCTCAGCCTGTCAGTTATCATTCATCCATTTTCTTGAAAGGCTCTAAACTTCATTGATTAGTTTGGTCTTCCTAGTGAATTACTGCTTTAACAACAAAAGCAAGCATTCTGTCCTTTCAAGGAGATTAGGAAGGAGGAGTGGTGGTGGTCATGTTGAGTCACTGACTGGATTATGCAGTTTCTACTGTGTGAATCCAAGCATCTAGCCCCAAACTAAACAGAATTCCGTGATGAGTACAGTATGATGGTGCACACCAGTAACTCCAGCAGGAAGGTTGGGAGTTCAAGGTCATCCTCAGCTACATGAGACCCTCAAAGAGGGTTCCATATGCAGATGGAGATGGATGGATGGTGAATGGGCCAAGGCAACCTCTGCCACACAAACAGCTGGTGGGAGGCAGAGACGGACTGAGGCCAATTCCTTTCTTCCAATAAAACAGCAGGTAAAGAAATGGGCAGATGCAGAGGACATGCCAGGGAGCCACTCAAGATGAATAAATACCTTTATTCATTCCAGACTTATCCCAAATCTCCACATCTTTATCCTCCCAAAGTTCAGTCACATATAGTGTCCCAGAAACAGCAGTGTTCAACACTTCCCCACCCCACAGAATGCTGTACAATGCCACTGGCCAGGAAGCAGCAAGTTGCAAACACTTTTAGTGGCATAACTCTCTTCAATCCAGGAACCACAGCCACTAGGTGAAACAGGCTGTAAGCCTGTTAACATTATGGATTCCTCCCTATAGCCCCAAGGTCCCTTGGAGCAGCTGTAAACACCTGCTTTAGAGCCTTCTCTCCAGTCACTGGAATCTAGGAGCCAGTGCTTTCTGTTTGAACTCTGCAGCAGGGCCAAAGAGATGGCACAGAGGTTAAAGGCATTGGCCATGTTTGAGTTCAAGTCCCAGAACCCACATGGCAGAAGGAGAAAACAGATTTCTGCAAGTTGTTCCCTGATCTCCACACCCACACCATGGCACAGGCATGTGCATACAAACACACACACACACACACACACACACACACACACACAAAATAAACATAAATTAAAGATTGCATGTAGCCAAGGCTTCTATGTGATGAGACACGGTCCGTCAAATTAAGGCATTTGGGAAGGGGATCACAGAGGAATAAAGCATTTATTAAAGTTATAATAACATATCAAAATGTCCATTGTACTTTTGAAAGCACTTAACTAGGCACAAGGGCAAAAATAGTCATAGTCCTGGCCACTGCAGACAAGCGCACACTCATCCCCGAAACAGTGAGAAATGGAGGGCTGGACATAAGCATTCTCTTCAGCACAACTCCAGACACACAGGCCCAGCACATGACGCACTTCCCATGCTAACGCTAACAGAGCAGCGGAAGTTGTGCAGACGCTGCTGGGCAGAGCAGGGCACTACGGGCAAAATGTCCAAAACAAACTACCACATTGCATGCACAAGAGAGCCATGTTCATAAATGTCACCCTCCAATCAGATTTATGTGCATACCCCCATCATTTGGTATACCAAAGACATCTTAAATCAACTTAAAGAAAAAAGGCTGGGGATAGAGCTCAGTGCTAGAGTGCTTGCCTAGCACACACAGGACCGCAGTCCAGTCCATAGGACTGAAAAGAACTCTGTACATTCCTGAAACTGAGTTATAGATGTTAGGGCAGCAGAAGTCGTCCCCCCACCACCCCCCATATCCTCTCACTTCACCATTCTTTGTCAGATCTGAGTGTACAGTAAATATTCCAAACATCACTGTCCACTTCAAAGCCCACACATTCCCTTCTGTAGGACATTCCTGGGATGACTACAAACCTCACTAATCATTTATACACATGTATTAGCTACTTCATTGCCCACCAAGGAAGTATGGGGAGGACAGAAG